AGAATAAAATTTTTTTTCCCCTAAAATTGTTTTAGATTCTGGTAATTTTGGTTTTTTAAATTTTTATTTGTATCCGAACTAACTAGAATATTATAATGTAATATTTTGACAATAATTAGATCCACCTTTCAATTTCATACACTTTTCTCCGAATCATAAATTTTCTACTTTTTGTTTTCTTCTACTGGTATGTTCGGATGTGCTTAGATTTTGTTTTCTATTGAGTTTTCTCTATTTAACGTATGTAAAATACTTTGAACGTAGTTCTTATCCCTTTTAGCATCACCCGCATATTCTAAATTGACAGATGTCTAATCTCTCCTCTTTTAATTTCCATGTCCGATTTCAATGTTGATTGTGGATTCCGAAGTGGTATTACTACTAAGCAATAACGTAACATTCCGACCATTAGGTATACGAAAAATACTTAATAGTCTACTGTCGGTCTCACATTGGAATTTTCTAGTTTTAAATTGATTCTCTTGTCATCCTTCATTATAGAGCCGTTCCTGTTGCAGCTGCATTGGTAGGTCACCGTACATTCACCGAATTTTAATAATTCATCAATTAAATTATAAGGATATTAAGCTATAGCCCCTAAAAATTCAAGAAAATACTATTATACACCTATACAATATAATCAAAAGATAAAGAAAATTATAAAAACAAATGTAATCTCAAACCAGTTGTTTACAGATTAAAAAAAAATAATAATAAAGAACTGATACTGGGGATGGGAGCGACCACTATTGTAGGTGAGAAGTTGAGAAGGTAAGATACATAAGGTTATTTCATTTATATCTGTAAGCAACGATAAACCATTGCTTGACGAAAGACGATTCCGAACGCTCCTTCGATAATACATAATTTGAAGTGCCGTAAGTTTTTTTGCGATTTTCGTTTGAATTTGATTTCAAAAAGCTTATTACAAAAAAAAGTGGTCCGATGATTTCGGAAATGTTATCACATCTAAGCAAGTCTAATATAAATATTATTACCAATTTTTAAGTTTCTACGTGTGTTTATAACCGAATTACAGCAAAAAACTCCCAAAAATTAAAATTCTTTAAAAGCCCAAAAAAGGCTCAAAAGTTTTTGCGATAATATCGTAAAAAAGTAAATCAAAAAGTCAACAAAAAAAAAATATCTTGTAATTTCTCGATTAAATCATTTTGTCTGGTAGAAAACACCGTCCGTGTTTTTATAAAATAATGAAATCGTGAAATTGTACGTTTTCCTACATTTTTCACCGCTTAGTGCTTTTATTTAAAAATTGCATCGAAAATCAAAATATGACGGCTTTAAAGTCCCATATAAACAACTTATGCTTTCAGAAAAGTTGCCGCGCGTAAAAATCGGCGCAGGTTTACTAGGAAAAAACGTGTCCACAGGCTAGCAAAAAGAAATAGAAGAAAGAAATAAACAACATTGTAAAACAAAAGCTCCCTCGCTACGATTGAAATCTAAAAATATTATTGTAATACCTAGGATCTAAAATTATAATAATAGTAATAAATCAATAAATTATTGCGTACGTCCGAAAAGATTTTGGAATAAATGTTTGACTTTGACAATCAATGGTCGTCTTCCATTGTCAGCTCTTAAAAGGTTCATGATTGCCCAGATGTAAAATATCGATCAATTCTGAAAATAATCTATCTACTGAGTCTTGAAATCAATTCACGTGTCCACGCCTCAAACGTTAAATATTAAACTCGTTGTAAAAAATATATGTATATTATGTGGTATTTAATCGGAAATAATAATAGGAAAAAATTAAGAAATAAGATGTGGAACTTTTATGCAAAAATACTACGTGCACGCAAATGTTAGTAATATTACATATAATAACTATGCAATGGTAATAATACAAAATCACTAATGAATAAACAATTTTTATATTTCGTACCTACTTAGCAACAGTATTTTTACGAATACATAATATATTATTCTCTGTAAATTCGCCAAAATATGTCGCACAAGATTATAAAAGACATTTTTTTTTTTTTTTTTGACAACTTCAAGCACAACTCATGATTGAGTGGATGACGTGAAATTATTACGTTAGTATGGTATAATAAGTGACCGATTAAATGGATACTAATGTATGAATGTAAAACAGGTACGTTTTAAAGCTTAATATAATAGCTTTAAAACTTAATATTATTTTTCAGAAAAAAAAAAATCGTCATCAAATTGTAAAATTAAAATGCCAAAATAGCAGTATTAATGTAAAAACTTCAAAAAATAAAATGTATTAATTCGGATTTAATCTTTTCGAAATACTATATTAATATTGTACTCGTGTACGTTAAATAAATTTGATAATTCTCCGCTATTTCTAAAACCACTGAATACTTTATTCTAATAGTTTTTGTTCGATTATGAATTAGTAAAATTAGTAAAAAAATACACATATTTTCCTTTGAAAGTTTATTACAATATTACATTATAATAAAGCTTTCGAAATAACATCTATTACACATCTAAAGTAATTTGTATATTTTATTTTTACTCTCTTTTTTTATAGGGAGGGGGTTTGGGGATATACTTTTGAAATTCAAATGGTAACCTATACATTCAGATTTTCATAAATAGATACAGTATTAGTTTAAACACATTACGATGTTGAAATTGTTGATTTTCGTTATTTTGTTGACGAAATTTTCGACTTTTTAGTTTAGTTTTGGTAGGGGAGAAGTAGTGTAATACTATGCTCGATTGTTGGGCCACTATTGTAGATGGAAGCATTACTAACGTAAACTATTCTGAGCGGAGTTTAGTTATACATATTTTAAAGGCCGTACAATTTACGATTTTTGTCAAAACTTGATATTTAAATTCTTATAAAAAAAAAACTACATTTCACTCAATTTTTTTATTTTTAATACAAAGACAAAGTCTGACTTAAGATGAATCTCCTGATAAAGTGTCAAGCATTTCTGTTTGATCAAACAATATTATCCAAAGAGTACTTACCATAATAAAAATTACGTAATAAACTCGCAAAATTTAAATATCTATAAATAGCTCAAAAATAACGTCAATATTTTGAACATTTTACCACGTCTAGAAAAGACAAATATAAGTTTTTATCCAATTTCAAGTGTCTATAAATACATATTTTTAACTGAATCAGAACAAAAAAACAAAATTGAAAATAATAAGTGTAGTAAATTTGTCCGTTTTACCCAATTAATACGAAAACCGCTTGGAAAATAAAAAAATTACCTTTTTACTCCTATTCCATATACCTTAAATAAAAATATACTTTGGGGTTTTTTTCAAATAAACTCCCTCTTTTTGTACAAAGATTCGAATAAAAAATATTTTTCTACACATTTTTTTATGCATCATAACACTTTTATCAGATTTAGAAAAGTGTTATTTATTCGTACCTATGTTCAAAAAGGGTTAAACTGTTTGAAAAACAAAAGTAGGTATATACTTGTTTAAAGTATATGAAGTGAGGGGTAAATTATTTAAAATAGTTTTGAAATAAAGCTAAACGTTTCCACAATGATTAAAAAAAAAAAAAAACAGAAATCAAATTCACTTAAAGTCAACAGAGAAAATTGCTGGTTTGCGATAGTAAATAACAATGAAAACACCGAATTTCCAAGTGTGACCGGTCCACGTAAAATAACCGAAAATATTTCGCTTGAACAGTATTTTAACCGAAAAATATATGTAATAATGTACTCAGCGCCTGATTAACCAATAGGCTGAAAAGGCTGTAGCCTAGGGCGCCGTTAAATGTCAGAGGCGCAACAGAACAATTTTTTTTTTTTTTTCAAACCTTTATCTCCTTATTTTGGGGGACACGGAAGAATTTGCCATCGCCAGCCTACTGGTAGAAATTCCATTAATCAAACCCTGAATATACTTAATAATATTTTTTACCATGTTCGATTCGTAATTTTTCGTCATTATTATTTTCAAATAATTAGATACATACAGTTGTTTCAGATTAAATATTTTCGAATCTAATACTCTTTGAACGATATCCGTTTGTATTTAAATATTTTAAAGCACCTCAGTGCTCAGTGTGACCTACATGTAGCTGTGAAGATCACAGACGATATCCCACGCACAATCTCCCAGCGCCCACTCAAATGGCAATGGCGCACAGTTGAAAGTCTGAACTATGTAAACTCAACAGTCGACATGATATTCTTGCGAAGAATCGGTCGAAATGATAATATAATGATGTATACGTACAAATAGCATAAACCACTCTGTCTACAATTGTTTCGTTGGAAAATTAAATGGACTCGATTTGTGGGAGCGATAATTCCAAACCGGCTGTTTATGCCAAAATGCGATAATAAATCATAATAATATCGTTTTATTCGTTTGAAATTTCGAAAAACGATCCCGTTAATCGAATGATTACTGCGATCGCAATGACGGTAGGTACCTATTACTTGCGGCTAGACGGGTATTTGAAAAAGAGAATAAAACCGGTTTTTGAAAATTTTGAAATTTCGGCGCGAATCGTTTTGACAGAGTGACGGCAACCGCCAAAGACGGTGTAGTTTGAGCCGGTTGTTGGCCGCAGTTTCCAAATCGAAATCGACAAGCGGGAAAAACAGCTCGGATAGTCTTTCCCCGAGATATTTGACGGCGACGCAGCGATGCGTGGACGGCTGTTCAGACTTTGTTCCGTCACAAACACGAGCATTGTGTTTTACAATTGTAACGGGGACGGACGAAAATCGATAGTTCCGTCCGTCCGGGAAAAACGTTTTGAGTGGGCGAGTCGTTGGTACACACGGCCGGGCGGCATCCGATTCGACATAATAACTACCCAAAATGTTTTTCGGTAGGTCCGCGCTTCATTATCATTTTCGTTGCGCAATTATTATATAGTTACGTTCCTGCCGCGACGTTTTGCAATCTCATCGACTACGGACGTCGTGACCCGGTGGGCCGCCGCCGCCCGCCGCGCCGCCGGAAACGCTAGTCGTCGGTGGCCGTCCGACCAATGGGAGCGCACCACGAGCAGTTGCCGTTGATAACGAGCGGCCGTGTCGATAAGGTGATAATATTCGGTCGTCGCCGACGCCGTTCGTTTCCGTCACGTCTCTTCGTCTTCGTCTTCAGTATTTCAGAAACACGTACGCGTCCGTCAATCGTCCAAAACAGAACGAACCAAACCGGCAGCCGCGAACGCGTTTCTGAATCGTCGAGCGTTACACGTAATACGTCGGATAATATTAAATTGAAACTCTTTTTGTTCTCGTCACCGGATTATACAGTGCCGTTTCTTTACCACTCGCCGCGCCGCGTCGTAATGAAATTGTTGTCTTGTGAGTACAACTACACGGCTGCTTACCCGCTTATTTCATCCGAATCGTACATTATTTGCATTGTTGCAGGCGTTCTTTTGGCGATCTTCGCCAGGTGCACTGTGGCCATTTACTCCGCCAATTCGGACGTCATCGAACTCACCGACGACAATTTCTCCGAGAACGTGCTCCAGAGCGACGAAATATGGGTGGTCGAGTTCTACGCCCCGTGGTGCGGACATTGTCAAAGATTCGCTCCTGAATACTCAAAAGCGGCCAAAGCCTTAAAGGTACGTTACGGTTTTCATTTCGCTTCTTCCCTTTACCCTAACATAACCTGTATACATTTGTTTGTTTTACAGGGTGTTGTCAAGGTAGCTGCCATCGACGCTGACAAATATCCATCTTTTGCCGGTCGTTACGGTGTACAAGGCTTCCCGACTGTTAAAATTTTCGTTGACAAAAACAAGCCCCAAGATTTCTCTGGAGATCGTTCAGCCATTGGTGTGACCGATGAGGTTGTTAAGGCTGTCAAAAATAAAATAACTGCTCAACTTCAAGGTGTCCCTTACGGATCTACAAAATCGTCCAAAAAGTCTTCGTCGGGCGACGATGTTGTTGAACTAACTGACTCCAATTTCGATAAATTAGTATTGAATTCTGACGATATTTGGTTAGTTGAATTCTTTGCCCCTTGGTGTGGCCATTGTAAAAACTTAGCTCCTCATTGGTCAGCTGCTGCTTCAGAGCTTAAAGGAAAGGTAAATCGAACATTAAATTAATTATAATATTTAAACTATTTTCAAACCAATTACTTATTTCTGTTGGTAATTTGTGTGTACTAGGTTAAACTCGGAGCATTAGATGCAACTGTGCACTCAGCAAAAGCTCAGGAATTTAACATTCGTGGATATCCTACAATTAAATTCTTCCCATCGGGTACATCCAGTTCAAGCGCAGCCGAAGAATACACTGGAGGTAGAACATCTTCAGATATTGTCAGCTGGGCATTGCAAAAGCATCAAGAAAATGTACCACCGCCAGACATTATCGAGGTAATTTTTTTGAATATTCACTAATATTGTCCACTGAAAAGTATTTAATCAAAGTTTTTACACTAGATTGTAAATGAAGAGACATTCAAAGGTGGATGTGAAGAACATGCTCTATGTGTTGTCTCCGTACTACCTCACATTTTAGATTGCCAAGCCAGTTGTCGTAATGAGTACCTGAACACATTACGTTCTTTAGGAGATAAATTCAAACAAAAACTTTGGGGGTAATTATTATAAATTTCTTTAAATACCAGTTTCAAATACATCTGATTCATTTTACTTTTATGTTTCCTCATCTTGTCACTAGAATGTCCCATTCCTATTATCTTTCCCATTATCTTCCCTTATTACTTATTACGCGATCTGTAGTTTATTTGTGAAACAATTTTCTTGTGGATATGTATAGTGCATGTACGTTTAAATTTGTATTTACAATCTTGTTACTATAACAAGAAAAAATTTAAATAATTTATTGGCAAGCGTGTATACTTTTCATTTTATACCATGATACGTGTTTATTTGAAATTGGCATTATGTATGATTTTAATAAGAAAAAATAATTATTCTGTAGATGGCTTTGGGCAGAAGCTGGTAAGCAGCCTGAACTAGAATCAACGCTAGAAATTGGTGGTTTTGGTTATCCAGCACTAGCTGTACTTAATGTTAAAAAAATGAAATATTCAATTTTAAGAGGGTCATTTTCAGAAGAAGGAATTAGAGAATTTTTAAGGTATACAATATTGTCAAATTTTTAAATTATTCCTTTGTTTGAATAATTTATACTCATCAAACGTATGTTAAATTTTTCAATAGGGATTTATCTTATGGTCGTGGTACAACTGCCCCAGTCAAAGGTGCTGCATTGCCAGAAATCCAAGGTACTGAATCTTGGGATGGCAAAGATGGTGAATTACCAGCTGCCGATGATATTGACTTATCTGATGTTGAACTTGATGAACTTCCTATTAAACAAGAACTATAAACACATCTCCGGTCTCTATTTTTATTTTCTATTTTCAATTTTTTTTTAAGACTGAACAAGTTCTGCTAATAAAATGTATAATGTAACACTAACAGTCAACCTTCTGATTTAATTTTCAATTAATTATTATTATATTAAAAACCTATTAATGTTGATTAGTAAAAATAAAAATTACACTGTTGTAACTTAGTTATTAGTTGTTCAAAATAATAATCTTAATGATCGATTTTCACTTATTTATTTTAAAACTTATACGAATTTAAGTCATGATGATTGTTTTTTTTTTATAAAATTATTTTTAATTTTTATATTTCAATATAATAAGTAGGAACTCATGAATAAATTTGAATAGTATTTATTATAATTAAAGTAATATTGCCAAAACGTTACTTTTTTATGTTTACAAATTTTTTTTCCTTCATAACAATAACTATTAATCGATTTAAATCCTTCATGCACAACTAAAAGATATTATTTAAATGTAAATGTATTAATTTATAGATTGCAAAATTTAAATGCAATTAATTTAACAATAAAAATAATTAAATACAATTTAATGTCTTGGCCAAGTTGTACTATGTAAGTGTTTTATTATTACTTGCGAAATAGTGATATTATATTACTGTGTAATGCAATGAAGTATTATCTGAATAATTAATGAAAGATCTGTGAATACATTTTGTTTAAACCTAAAAGTGAATAATGTGAGAAAAAAATATCTTAAATAACATTGCATTTTTTTGGCAGTCTTGTAATAACCCATTGATGCAATGATAGAAAAAAATTATCTTTTATATTGTATGAAAACTGAACAAACATCTCTTTTATTGTGTAAAATAATTAATGATGTTAATGAAAATTGCATAATAAAAACAATAATGTGTTTCCAAAGTGAATAAAATAAAACAAGTTGTAAAAAGAATGTTAAATTCTTATTAATTTTACACATAATGAAAATTATGAATGCCTAAAATAATTATTTATATGTACGAAGTGTATCATACCAAAAAAAGAACATTGTGTGGAGTGTTTTAAAAATAAAAAATAAATATTTTAACGAATATCAATAATTTATATTTGTTCCAAAATGATACAATAATTTTAAAAAACTTTCTATTTTTTTGTGTTCTTTAATAAATGTATTTTGGTGACATCTATTTTAGGCGTTAAATTTAGTCAATTTCTAATCTCGTCTCCGCTCATGATCTTTGCGTTAGTCATAAACAATCATTAGTGTGAATGCACTTTAATCTGTGTACCGGCCACCCACCGTGTCACCATTGTAGCAATTGATAGGTCGCATTGCAAATTTATTCTTGGGTTTATTTCAAGTCAAATTGTTATTATATTCAATTCCCACTGTTATTAAATGGTCCTCAAAGTCTATTTATAAACTTGAGTAAAGCCAGCACCTAGGGGAGCCTGCACTTCGAAGGTCAGAATTCGCGGTCAGAAAACTTTAATATTACGATAATACAAATAATATTACAATTGGAAAGCCATGGTGGTGGCATCTCGGACTGTCTACGATGCTCTCTTTTTATAGAATATCTAATAAAATCCTTAAATTCACTATGTGGATGTCATGACGACGAATATCAACAAGACCTGCCCCTTTGGGGTTCACTGGCAGGCATGAGTCAATGTAATTTATGATAAAATATTTTGCGATTTAAAAAAAAAATGATACTTAGATCTAAAAGCTAAAACTGCAGGACTTGTGATTGACAAATTTCAATTATATAAACAGATTATAATTCTTTATGTTCTTTACTTAGATATGTTAAAATTATTTTTTAATTTTAATTATCTTTATCATATGTGAAAAAGAAAATGCTTTACATAATATATTTTCAGAAATATAACCATTTTTGTTTACACTTTGCAGTGAAATATTGAAATGTCTATTTCCAAAATATCCTAGTAAAGAACTTATATAACCATAATCCTTTTAAAAAATTGAAATCTGTCAAATACAATTCCTACAGTTTTCTCTGGCTTTTAGGTTTGAATCTACTAAAATATAGGTACATCGTCACCAATCCCCTTAATACAGTTACACAAACAATAGGTTTAAATCTGGACTTATCAATTGATATTTTTCACATTATTAATTTCCCAATATAAAGAAAATTAAAGCTGATAATATGCATGGGTGCCATCTTTGTTGATGAGTGTAGATGGGAAGGTAGGATATAATATATTATAAATTATTGCAAAAAAAAAGTTACTCTTTTTTAATAAATTTTAATTAAAAATTATATTAATTGGTAACCAGGGCAGTGCCTAATGGGGAGATGCCCACACACTGAGCACAATGACTAAAGGGGAGTCTGTAACTGAATATTTTTATAATGAAAGTATTAGTAAATGCCCCAACAGCCAGGGAAGGCCCTTTTTTTTTCCTCATCGTTAAATTTTTCTGGCACCAGGTGCCAATTTTGCTATGCACAGCACTGTTGGTAACTACAAAATAAAATTAATTATATTTAATTATATTCGAAATATTTTAAATGAAATATTTTATTGTAAATTTTAACATAAATCAGTTATAAAAATAAATTAAGAGATACAATAACTTCTAGCAATGAAAATATCTGATCCATATAATTACATTTTTTTTTTCAAATTGCAACAAAAAAATAAAATTGATTATTATAAGTCTAGCTGTTGCGTAATTATTCTCTTTTTTCTCAATTATTAAAAATAGTATAAGAAAAATCATAAAATTGCCTCTGATGCACTGACTAGACAAAATTTGACAACAAAAATCATTTATTGTGATTGGAACAAGTCTTAGGTTTGAAAACTAGGTAACATACAGAAAATAATTTTGAATCACACATCATAGTAAGTATTACTCTGAAACAAAAATACTTATTTAAATATAAATAAATAACAATGATTTTTTTATTTCATATTGACTTTTTAAAATTTATTATACAAAAGTAACAAACTTGTCTTTACTTTGTGTCACTTAGGTAATCAACTAAATTTAGTTATTTTTAAAAAGTAATTTATATTTATCCAATGTTGGTTGAATCGTAAAATAATTAGGGTAAAAATAATTGCATGACAAATCAATAAGGAATAACATAATATCAACTTGTTATAAGCAAAAATATTTTTTTTATTATATTCCTAAAAAATTCACAAAATAGGTACCTATAGGTGTACGATAATATATTAACACTAAGTTATGAATAAATAGTAAATGAAAATAAATTGAATGGCAAAATTGTATGTTGTTCAATTACAATCAATGTAATACTTAATAATTAAATTTTTCTATTGATTAGCACAATAAATTAAATATTATTAAATCGAACATAAAAAAAAATACTTAAAATACACTAATAATAATGAGTGAAATTAATACAAATTTCAAAAAAACTAATTAATAATATTTTATATTAACTATTAAGTAGTATAATATCATAGTTTATGTTTATTACTATAAAATTTAAGGAACAGTTAAATTCAATAGTTACCATTATTTTTATATTACTGCAACTTACTAGTTTATTCAGTCGTAATTTTAAACAAGATATAAATGCTTATAAAAGATTTTTTTTTTTTTTTTTTCAAATATAAAACTCTTAAAAGTATAAAAATATTTGTTCAACATTATTAATTACAAATAGTTTTTTATTTCGGATTTTAAATACAAACCACCACCTTGAGATTGTAATTTAATTTTTTAATGTAATATTAAAACATTTTTCTTCCGTTTATGGTTTTGCAGACATTTGCATGACATCATACTTGCGTTCTTTCTTGCAAAGAATCGGGTAGAACAGTACCCAATAGTATATGCCCATGACACCTAATACGATAAATAATATTATTGCAATGATGACCAATGTTGAATGAAGAAGAGTGTTCTTGCGTGTTGTTTTAACATCTGTTTAAAAATAAAATCAATATTTGATATGAGACATTAATTAACTGAATGATAATAATAATTTGGCGACTAATATTGTGAAACTTACCATTTTGTGGGGGTTGTACTTTGTCTGTTTGTTCATCTTTTAATGGTTTATCTTTATATAAACTTCGACTTTCAACATCGCTGGCAAATGACGCTACAATTTAAAAACACAAAATATCCAATTGTTTATATTTTATGATAACCATATAATATAGATAAGTAGGTACCTTCATAAATATTTGAATAATCAATTTATCCATTTTACTTTTGTTAATTTTCAAATAATACGTATAAAAATAGCATTAGTTTTTAGTTAGTTAAAACAGTATAGTTTGATTATTCATAGACATGTAATGTTATTAAAGATCAAATCATTTACATGTAAACCCAAGTTTTAGACATATCTTTAAAATGAAGACCCTATTTAGAGAAGCCATCACAATTTAAGAGGAATAGTATTGAGTATTGGTTACCGCTAAAATCTTTACCGGGCCTGTCCTGTACATTCTGCTTTGTTTGAGACCCAACCCGTCCCAACATTGATGCGGGTAACAAGAAAAATGCCCAAGTTTGAGTTGGGCTATACTTGGACCCTATTGATAAATTTGAAACCCGGCCAGGGCTTGAATGCACTGTAAACAAAACTGTATTTAATATTGAAAAATGTCCATTCTATTTAAAATTGTTAAGTAATTAAGAATTAAGATAGTCAAAGAAAAATAATGTTTAAGTGGATATTTTTTTTTTCAAATTTATACAAAAATATGTTGGATTACTTTTTAAAATAAAATTAACATTTTTAAAAAAAAAAAAACACATTTTACAAAAATCGAAATATTACAATTATTTTTTTGGATAACCACATGAGATAATTATAATGTTCAAATTAAAAACACCTAATAATAATATTAGATAGAAATCATTTTTTTTTCAGTATGTTCAGAAATGATAATATACTTTTAACAAGGACAGGGTGAATTTCATCCTGGTCATATGAAGGTATTAAAATCATATTTCAATAAAAGTATCAATCTTTTATTATTTGGTTCATTTTTTTTTTTTTTTTTTGTGACTTCATTCAAAATTCAATTTGTTAACGATATTCATTTCAAATAAAACTATTGCAAATAAATCACGTCTACGTGATACCAGCGGTGGATATAGGGAGGGAGGGGGGGGCGATTACCACCTCTCTCTAATGTTCACTATCCAATATAGCTCGATTCATTATACCCAAATGTATGCCATAAATTAATTTTAAAAATAGCCATCCCCGCCCCCTTATCTTGTCTTGGATCCATTCTTACATGGTATTTATGTATAAATTCTTAAGATTTATTCATACGGTACCTATTCCATGTGCCTACATGCCTATACTTAAAATATATATATTTTTTTTTTTTTTTTGTTACAATTTGTAACTATTTTTAAAAAAATCGTTTAACTCTTCTTCACGTCAACCATTTAAATTAGGCACCTACCGCATGCCAATCTGTGTTTGGATATGATTTTAACAATCCGAATACGAAAATGTATTGGAATTAAGAAAAGACACGGAACGTGCTCCGCCATTACTCACCAAACAGAACTGCTGCGAAAACGACGGCCACTGAGACCAGTAGTTGTTTGTCGTGTACCCCGTCAGACATATTGTTATTGTTATTACTGTTTAACTGTTTTGGTGGAAAAACGCAATATCGTCGAGCGGCAAAACGGACGCTATTCAAAAGGACAAAAAACGATCAACAGGATGGTATCGCGGACATCGGCGAAACTCCGGCATGCGCAATGTAAATCCGCACGCACTACGACGACAACAACAAAAACAACAACAACAACGGTACTGATATTTTTTTTGTTTTTGTTTTTTTTTTTTCTGTATGCAACAAAAATAATCGAACGACGTCGTCGCGGTCACTCGCTGTTGATAACGACAGAAACGAAACGAAACCGATAGGCTCATGGAGGAGGTGGGCGACAAGGTTGCCACCACTGCAGGACTCCAGAAACTGGACAATAACATTCGTGCGCAGCGCTTCAGCCGTGGTCCAGTAAAGAAGACCGAGGCGGCGAGCCGGCAATACTACCGACACGGCGACATTGCCGCGTTCCGAACATCCCGCGCGAACGCGACGACGTACATGCGTGTCTGTAGCTGTAGTCTCTAAGGTAATCGGTAAAAATATCCGAGGTCACGATGGCGGGATTAGGGGGATAAAAAGTTCAACCCCTCCCCCTCCCCTCGACACGTCTTCCTTCACTACATTTTTTTCTTTTTTTTTTCTCATCAAGTTTTACATTCAGCGACATAACATCTTGTACCACGGAATGAGAAAAAAATGTAATTTCATCGAAAATCGTTTGTTCGGTAACAGTAGGGACAGTGCTGAACTTGAAATGTGTGCTGTCCCCCCTCTATGAAACTGTTATAAACGAAATCCCCCTCGAAAAAAATTCTCGGGCGCGCTACTGTCCAAAGACGAAGTATCCGGATTTTAAAAATTTAGAAAAACGTTTTTAAAAACAAACACAAACAATTTGAAACGAACTCGAATAGTATGAAATAAAATTTAAGTTTGAATGTTAGATAACTCAACGACTACGTAGATTGGTAGATAACGTTTTATTTTCTAATAAAATCAATTGAAATATTAAATTATAAAATTAACTGGCGAATGTTAATTGAACACTGCAGATACGGCGTGTTATTAATGGTAAAATAAATAACTCTGATAGCAATAATATCACGAAATACGCTTCGCAAACATTACTCGTTATCGTCAAACGTTATAATATAATAAAATGTAAAATGAGTCAACGGCACAAATATTAGTTGACTGTAATAGGTAAGGTACTTACTTAGGTACACCGTTTCCCGAGAATGTAGAAAAACGTTTTTATGCATTTTTGAATTCGGATTTTGGACATTTTGACCGTTGGATATTTCGTTCTTGGATATTCGGGTTTGGATATTTTGACTTAGATTCGGTCTCTACCGGGTCTTCGAATGTCGCGAAACAACGTCGACATTTAACCTGGTTCAATTCCGTCCGACCGGTCGGGCCCCGTACAATAATATTGTACGTCTGTTGTTGTCGTTGTAGGATACGGGTAATCCGAGTAGCTCTTCATTTCTGCGCGGACCATAATAATTGCGACCAGATCCGACGTGCCTCTCACAGAGATTTTATCCCCAGAAATTATCCGGTTTCGAAAACGTTTATACGCGACCAGACCGAGTACTTTGACGGAATTCTCGTACGAGAGGCCCTTACGCGTACCGGGTGCAACGAGATTCTTATAGTATCGATATGCCAGCGACATACGCAGTTGCCGGTTAGTTTTCGAATTTTTTTGGAAATGTTTAACTTGAAATTTGTAATATTGCCCGGCACGTATTGATTTGCAACTAGAGTCTAGAGTCGATCGAAAGAATAATAATATAGAATATGGATACCTAATAATCGGGAAAGGAGTGGCCGACCCGGCAAATGCCCGCCGACTCGTGAGTGTGGCCCGGAGCGTTAAAAATTAAATGTTATTTTTAGTTACCTACTTGAAAAAAAAAAAAAATTGTTCGTAATTAAAAATGTTTTTACAGAATAAATAATCGAGATGTAGATTTTATATTTATCGATAACGGAATAATAATGAATGTGTACTGTATTGCACGGTTTACCTAGATAATTTTTTACATTGAATTTCATATAAAAAAATCCGATAATTTCTGGTAAAGTTTTGTAACCGAATCTGATTCGTATTTAAAAGCCTTTCTTCGTCAATCTCACAATATTAAACGACTGTTGGCTATTTCGTGATATTATTATTTTAGATAGGCGTGTAGGTGTTTTGGTTTATTTTCATTTTACAGTGTCAAAAGAAAGACGAAAGACGACGGAAATCCCAAGCGACCCACAAGCAGCGGTGCGAGAAATTATGTAACAAATAACAATAAAAATAAATATGCGAGTAAAAAACTTAACCTGCAGGGATATTATTAGTGTAATTTCGTAAATAATCAATTATTGAATTACGTTTGAAAAGGTTGAGTGAGGAGGGTATAGGCGAAGCCTCCCATTGGTTAGGTTGAATTCAACTGTCGCAAGAGACGCTTTTTATTTATTTATTTTTTTTTTTTTGGCCTCGTAATCCCTCTTATATTAGTTTTTCAATTCGATCACTAATAATCCAGATAATCTAAATTTGTCCATAGCCTACAGGTAGATTAGGTAACTAAATGAAATCTAAATCCATATTATTCCCTTTATTTTACGCAATACGAGAATTCGTACGTTTTTTTGTCAATATTCGACCAAGTCATGCGACTCATCAACGTTGTTACTCATTGGTGTTGGTATTGATGTAACCTACATCAATTTCTATCATTTTTATGAAAGTACATTTTGCATAATAGCCCCTCAATTATTACCGCTGAACCAAATTTCAATAATATTATGAATTGATAATAATAATGAAAAAAATATCGCATACAGAAAAATAGAAATGCGCGTGCGTTTTTGTTCCCAAACCATAAAAAAGTATATTAATATAATATAAGTAATATAAAACCAGTGGAAAATATTTGTATAGAAAAATGATAACACCAATCAGTAAGGCAGTTAAGTTTGTATATTTTCTTCGAAAATAGATAAGTACATGATTATATAAAAATAAAAATAGAAATTATTTAGCCCTTGTAAATGATTGACGAATTGTGCGGTTTAATTCGTTCTTGCGTTTACAGATCAGTACAAATCAATCGAATCAATTGAAAATTGTAAAAAAAAAAAAAAAAACCCAACAAATACTAAATATTACACAATAATTTAAAATTATAAATTTTCAAATCTTTATGATTCGGTTATGTAACAAAGGTGTTCAATCTCCCTCATCAGCTTCAACGCCTTCTCAGACCCCTCGAAACGATTGTACACTTTTGTACGTTCTTCCGCGATATCGTCCGTTTCCAATAACAATTCCGCCACATCGATATCGTTCGATTTGTACACTTTGGAAATTAGGTCATTTTGAAAGTTTTGTTTTACATTATTCACGAATTCGAATAATTGTCTTCGGGACACTGTCTTGAATAATTTTTCTAATGACCTTAAAGTAACACTCAATAAACAATGTGAGCATTTCGGCTCGACTTTCCAATACGAATTCTTCCGTGTTGACGAATTCGCTAAAAACGTTTTTATCTCCTTTTATTAAACTAACGTTACTCAGATATTCATAACCAAGTGGAACCGTTTTGGGTATTGAACCTTTGTGCACGCGTATGAATAGCTTGCGATATTCGTCCGACTCCGTTACAGCTTCGATGAAATCGGGATGACTGGTATTGATGTATGCTTCTTGGCAACGGATCAGTTTACTAACCGATTCGAGTGTTTTCGGTTTGTATTGGTTCAATAGGTCTAATAACACTTCGCGTATTTTTTCCAAAAGTTTTGGATATCTCTGTAGTTCCCGTGATAAGTCGTCGTCCAGATTGTAGATATTCGAAATCAACACTTCGTATACAAAAGTCACGCAATTTAACGAAGGCGCTTCCATTAATCGTAATTGGTTTTTGACCAGATGATTGAACGCTTGGGTCGGCATGAATACGCCCATATTGGTTCCCGACGCGTTCTGTATTACATTGATAATTACGTCAGAAGATAGCCCGTAAAGCGGGTCAATATCCTCGATTTCTTTCTTGAAATTACTTTTAAAATAACACGCAATCCGAGCACCACTTTTAAGACTCATCATACTGGTGTTGTTTATTTGACCGTCCAAACACGCTTTGTAACCAATCGCAGTCTTCATAATCAAGTCGAGTAACGATTGGTCGTAGTTATCGGTAAACTCTTTAAATTGTTTCACTAGAGCACCGTAATGCATATTCTGGTCGTAAAGTTGTCGTTTTAGATCCGGAAACGTTTCTTTTATTTTTTTTATTAAAAGACACTGGAGCCTTTTGCCCAAAACGCCCGTTCCGTGTTTATCCGCTATATTTGCATAGCGTTCTTGAAAGAATTTTTTCTCCTCTTCACGCGATTGTTCAATACTTTTGTTTTTATTGACGTCTTTTTGTGACCTGTTTATCACACCGACTATTCCCAGTTTCACCGGAATTATTTTCCCGGAAAGACAATCGGTAGCGTCTGTTCCTGCATCCATAATGTCGATTTTCGTAACGACTGCTATGGTACGGTCCCCGTCGGGATCAACAGATTTGGCTATTAACAGACTTTCACTGCAAGCTATGTCTACGTTTGCGGCCACTACGGCCAGTATTATCGAATTCGGGTTACTAATATAATGCAAATTCAATTTCTCAATTTGTTGTTTAATGTTTTTGGGTTGATCTTGCACGGCTATTTGAGTCAACCCCGGAAGATCGACAAAACTTAGATTGTATAAATGTCTAGAATAAATGTTTACAACGATTGGCTTGTTGGTTATATTTTTTTTATCACCAGCAAGTTCTATTGTCCGCTCTTCGATTTCTTTTCTCACTTTATTGAAATCATAAAATATCATGTTTGGTTTGTGATGAAATGTGGCCCAATCTTTTAAATGTGGTGAACGCAAATTTTCTGTTTTAATAGTTGTTGGATTAATCAAATGTAAAACGAGCGGCGTCCGTGTTACAATTCCGGTTCCTCTAGGTAAAAAAGATTTACCAACCAGACTTTCTAAGACACTACTCTTTCCTGAACTTTGGGAACCAACGACAACGATCTGAGGAAGATCTATGTTTTGTGATCTATCAGTAGTCGAAAATATATCTTGTAGTTTGTTCATAACAGTTATTAAAGAATCCATAGGGTTTAATTGTATCTGATGTTGGTCTACGTTCGGTGATTCATCAGCAATTGAAAACGTATTATGTAATGTTTGAATAACTTTAGATAAATTCATGATTCTTAATTGTATCTGTATCCAGCTGTACCCTGAAAAATTACCATTTTAAATTAATACAAATATAACAACGTAATTTATCATTTAATGTAGGTACCTAAAACAATGTTATAGGTAAATAAAAATAACACATTTTGTTATTATTTTTGAAACATAAAATTATGTGACTTATTAAAATTTTATTTAGATAACCATTTTTTAACTTCTATATAATTTATTATTAATTTAGAGATATTATTTATTTGCAAAATTAAATATTAATTTAGTTTTATACTGGATCGTTTAATTGTTATTGTTTTATATAAGCCTTATCGCGTTCTAATCTGTATCTTATATATCCAAATATTTTGTACGATTAAGTTCTAAAAAGTTCCATTTCCTTTATTTTTTTTCTACCCCCGAATAGTTTTAAACTTAAAACGCCGATAAAATGTATTAAAACATATGTGACCACACACATATGTCACACCAAAAAAAAAAAAATTCAAATAGCTAAAAAAAATACCAAAAGGTTTTATAATTGTGTTATATTTACAAAGTGTTAATGTATTATATTATTATGTAAGTATTAAGTAGAAGTTTCAAGATAATTTTTTACCAAATATCAACAAAAAATAAATCGAAAATAACAAAGATTTATTAGAATAATATTGTGTAAATAATCCCATTTTTTTTCCAATTTTACATAAAACTAAATAGAAAATCATAAGAATGGTCTAAACCAAATCTACAAAACTGGAACCTTTACTAATTAAAAAAAAAATTGATACCGAAAACCATTCCTGGTGAGTAGTGTTGATGGTTGGTACAAGTACCTTTGGTCGAAAAAGAATTCACAGCCAAGAACAAAAAAAACGCACTTCATAGTAAAATAATATATTCCTCTCTATACTCAAAATTTAAAAGTGTCACTGAAATTTGAAATGTAAAAAAAATGACGTTCAAAACCAAAAATATCAATTATGCAAAAATTAAATTTAAATTATCAAAATAAAACATTCAAAATTTGTTAAAGAAAAATGTACTGTCAGTTGTAAAAAAATTGTGAATTTTTTTTGTATATCATAATTACTGAAATAAATACAATTGGTATTACTATTTCGGTTTTAGTGGCATAATTGATATAAACGGGCAATAAAAGTATAATAATATGTTATGAGGATTCAGTGGCGTATCCAGAATTTTTTTAGGGGGTGGGGGAGGCAAACACTGTCATTTTTCTTCGTGTTGAAAATTGAATATAAAATAGGTGTTTTTTCAGACATAATTATTGTTATTTTATTAGTTATTTTTTTAGTTTTGGATACAAAAAATGTATAATAATTACTGCTTACTGAATAATTTAATAATTTACACTATAGTCGTATTAAACGTTAACGTCAGGCTTAGCTAATAAAGATTTTATGTATTTTAAATTAACGACCACGGTTGTAGATATACTGAATACTGATAAGTTGTAACTGATTACACTATTTACACAACGAATTGTGGTACGGAGACCGTCAAACTGTCACCAAAACAGTTGTGTAACTACTGACTGTCGCCATCTGGAATTCTGGAACAACTTTAGTGTAACGAGATAACAGTAATAGTGATTACTGGTATAAGCACAGAATATTCATTAGTTATAAGACATATTTTAGTAAGCGTTCATGTCTATGAATAAATATAAATGTTTAAAACAAAAACTAGCAAATACGGCCATTGAGGGGGGGAATAGCCCCTGCCGGACCCCCTCATGGATGTGCCACTGTGAGGATTTTGTTTGTTTGAAAGATTATTTGAGAATATACCTATGCAATATACGTAATTGTGATTTTTCAAAAAATAGTCTACAGCGTATATGTAATGTGGGGTTCTACCAAAATGTCCAAGGAAAAAATGTATGGTGGTAACAAATATAATACCTATATAATTTTAATATATAAATATAAATAATAAATTAATTACAATTTTAATACTTAATAATAATATTAATAGGTATAATAATCGTCTAGATGTTGGTCTTAAAAGTAATAAAAATGACAGTGATAAAATTGACTAAAAAATGTATTATTCTACTATATTATACAATATTGATTTAATTTAATGATATACATTTCAAAAAGTTTTCATACATTTTTTTTTTTTTTCGGAGGTTCGAAATTTTCTTTTTGGCCTGTTTTACACTGGTCAACTCCCAGCTCCAACCACATTTTTTCATTTAATAGCTGGGTAGGAATTTGAAAATTATTTGGAAAACCTAAGATTGCATCCTTTAGTTACGTTGTTAGTTATCTAGCTATATCTACAGTGTACAAGCCGGACATTTCACCCCCCCCCCCCGAATTTTTTTACCCACAATCATATGTGGTAGTATACTATGTTAAAAGGTTTTCAATCTTTTACGAATAGCGACCACCTAATTTTAGATTCGGAGTGTAACGAGAGATTTATTGTTTTTAATATGATGTGTAGAGTTAGGATGTTGATGACCTATAAAACTTACAAAAATGTCCTAAAAACTTAAAAATAACCTAAAAAATCTAATTAAATAAAAATATTTATTAATAAATAATAATTTTTATTTAGAAATATGAATGTGAAAATGAGTGTCACAGTGAATTATAATATTAATAAACAATAGTATACATTTAAATTTCAAGCATTATATAAAAATATTAAAAATGAATTAAAAAGTAAAATATAAATAAAAATATTCTCATTAATATTCATATTGCACTGTTGCACTGTACAATTAAAATGTGTCTAATGTTTTTAAACAAAAGACGACGACGTCAATCAGTTAATAAATGTTTGTATGATGAAAAACTTTGCTCGACATCAACGGACGTTTCGAGTGCATACTTGAAGTAGATCATGTCATCAATAGTTAGATCTTCTATATTATCTTTTCCTCTTGTGCCTTTGCCATTTAGAATTTCAGAGCTGTAAGTTACAATTGTTAAGTCACTGTTGACTGTCAGTTTTTTTTTGTTTTATTTCTTATATCAGTCAGAAATAATTGAGTTTGTTTTTTCTTTTTTTTGTTGTTTAACTCCCGCGAGTATATTTTTCTTGATTTACTTGTTATTTAACAGTAAATCATTTCAATGCACTTGTTGTATCAATGTTTAACACTCAAACAGTAAATCTATGTTGGTACGCAATAAATTTAATCACACCTAAAACCCCTTAATAATAGAATTAAAATTATTTTTAGAATATTATACAAATTTTCTTTAAAATCTAAAATTTGAGAAAAATGCCCTCATATCAATATATGTAATATAATATATATTATATATATCTATATAATATGTACAAAAACTACAAAAAATGACGTTAAAAAACCAAAAAACGTGCATTTATTACTATAAATTCCTAAAAATGCAAAAAAATACAAAAGTCATCAACACCCTAACTCTAATAATGTGTGCGAGATAAAATTTTAGACACAATGTAAACAGTTTTTAACGTTTCCTAAGAGAATATTATATTCAATCCAGAGTATCCATCATACTGCGGCTCTGTTAACATTATAGCCTACAGGATAGATATGTTTTTTAATTATGCCTCGGCGATATCGAAAAAGCTCACTATTGACCCGCAAAACCGCAATAACCGAGTTTAGTCCGAACAATTACAGCCAAGGGGTATCTACCACGGTTATTTGTAATTTGCATTATTTTTATTTTATTTTTTTTTTTTTTTTGTATGTCTGCACAACGTAGTTTCTACCAGAAATCTTGCTCCGATTTCATTTCAAAATATGTTTTATCGCACTTCGCTCCGAATCGTTTTTTATTTGCAATGGTTTATCTTTACGCACAGCAATTATTGTGTTATTACTTTATTTACAGACATACATTAAATTCCCTTCTGTATCCCACCTTCCCACCTACAACAGTGGCTGCACCCGACCTCAGAGTCAACTCAATTTCTTCAAGTAAGGCGACCCCTTTAAAAATTGTTAAAAGAACTTGAATATTACAATAAACAGCTGTATACACGGTACTAATGGTTTTCGGTGACCATCCACTAATCGCGACCTCTTTGTGGGGCTGCATCCGAGTTCCGTCCCAAATGTAAAATTTGAATTTGAAAATATACTAATTTTCGTCCCTTGTTATTTATTTAGTTATACGAGTTCCGTCATGTTTCACATTTTCTACACTATATTAATATAATGCACAATTTACAATTACTACGATTACAATTTTATATTATTTAGAAATAATAATAACATTGCTTTCAGTTATCGCACTAAATAATCGAATTTGTATACATTAATACTTTAATATTATTTTATCGTTTTTTGTATTTTAATATTGACTAGATAGATTATTATTTTTTTTATACCATATAAATGTAATCCAATAACAAATTTGTATTTATGAAAATATATACTATGTTTAAATTTTTTGTACTCAACATTTATGTATTTTAACGTGGATAAGAACATTTTTAATCGGGCAGAAATTGCTATATGCATTTTTTTCAATCGGACAGAATTGGTACAAAAAAAAGTTATTGGGATGGAACTCGGATGCAGCCCTTTGTAGATATCGACTCCCTGCAGGTTGGAAACCACTGTCCTTTGTCAACACCACTGCTTACACATAAAATAAAACTACGCGGTTTATTTCGGTAACAAATTATTATCCATATAATATTATAATAATTAAGGTACTTACGACTCAGGTGCAGAGTGTATGCAGGTACAACGAATATCCTCTCGAAATGGTGAAAACGACAGTCCGAAATTTTCTGTTGGAAATATCGTCGAGTACACGCGTAAAATATTAATAATATTACAATCTCGCGTAGACGTTCGTCGAGGGTACCTCCGAATCCCCACTAATAATAGGAATGCGATGCCAGACGGCCGAACGATAATAAAGTGAAAAGTGTGACGTCTTGAGAAAATAATAATTATATGCTGAATATGCATACGATAAAGATTTTATGAATGCCCTGCATTATTATAATATTTATCTAAAAAACAAAATTTGCAATCAATGGATACAAAATACGTTCCATTACCGCGCGGCGATTACATTTATTCGACGCCCGCAGACTGGATAGGACTGTTTTATTATTAATAATATTTAGTATTAGTTTTACTATAAGACGTGCGTATTTTGTATTTATCGGAATACACTTTTTCGGCTAGTAACAATATTCCGACTTAACGCAGTACTCACTTTGAAAAATACGTATGTGTCGTCTGGTGAAAAGATTGGTGTTTATTTTGAACAATTTTCGAAATTCTTAATCGTTTTTCTTAAAAAAAAAAAAAATTACTTTTAATGATTTTTTTTTTTTAACACGTTTTTTGTTAGGCAAATGTTCCGATTTTTTCACGCAATAGGTACTCGCATTTCTGCCCGGCGACGGTACTTTATTCGGACCGTTTATCGAAATTATAAGGGGGGGGGGTGTTCTGATTATTAATTATTTATATATATATAAATGAATTTCGAGTTTAAAAAGGAATTGAATTCCTGTAATGACTACGGAATGGGGTGAAGGCTTAAATCCCCATCCTTTTCCCCTTACCTGGGCCCTTGAACACGACTAATACAAATAATTCGTTCAGAATCCTAACATATTTTTCTACATTGTATTGTTATTATAATTTATGGAATCTAAAAAAAAAAAACCAACAGACATGTCTGTAATTCGGGAATTCATAGACAAGTAATAGTTATGCCTGGTTGCATAGATTATCGAAAAAATCAACTCGATAAGGTGTGCTACCGGGTCCATAAACTATTATAACAAATACAAAGATATTTATCGGTTCCACAATACGATATGGAACCGATTACTGTACTGTTCAGTACAGTAATTTGTATTACTTGGAAATTAATTACAATTTTAAAACATTATATTAATATAAATATGTATATATTATATTATATACAATCTATTACGCATTAGACAGTATAGAAATTCCAAATGATTTACACTGTGTTCACGTTATAATGTTAATTTGGTATCTCAGTAGGTAATTTGTTATGTATATACATGAGTAATTAGTAGTAGTAACGTAATTAAGTAAAAATAATTATGTAAATGTATTTTGCAATAAGTAACGAAGGGAAAAGGATCTGGATAACTACAGGTTAAAATGTGTAGGTGGCGGAATCGATTTTAGACCGCCCGATATACTGGCGGAGTTGAAACTGACGAAATCGATGCTAGGTGTATAATGGCGAGAACGATAAATCCCCAATAAAATAATAACAATTATTATTGTTTTATTTGGCCAGAAAATAGTTAAAACATTTCGAGATAATAATAATAATAATATTATTTATACGTAATATAAATACTACAGGTTATTGTAATAATAATTCACAGTTAATAATTGATTTAGCCAGATTCACCACCGAGACATAACCTCATATTGGTGAAACAGGGGAAACTAATCAGTTATTATTATTATTTTAGATTCTGAGTTTAGCGAAGAATGTATTGGTTTTATAAAGATTTTTTTTTTTTTTTTTTTTTATGTGAACATATTTTCTACCAGAAAGCTTACACCGATTATCAAGTGTAGCACCTTTTCTGAAAGAAAATGTTCTCTCGGCGGTACTTTAAAGTAGGTCATTTTGGTTGAAATTTTCATTAATATTCGAGATAATGAGGAAAACCCGGTTCTTTAGGTCAAACAAAATTGAAAGATTAAAATTAAAGTTGTTATTGACAACCGTTTTTATTTACTTGTTGTTATTATTTTTATTATTTTAATGATCTTTTTTAAACAATCAAAAAAGACAATCTGTGTACTTTGTAATTTTTGTTTTTATTTTTGTTCTTTCCCAACCAATCACTAATTTTCTCGCCAGAAAAGTTACTGAAGTAAAAATAAAAACAAAAAAATATACATTGTACAAACAATATTAAAAAATTGTTCCGTAGGGCATCAGTAAACAATATTAATAATACATTCATTACTAATATAAAAATATAAAATGCTACTGCTATTATTACATGTCTAACAATAACCATAATTATAATGTAATAAATAAATTGGCTCTTTTTCGGTGGTTTTTTTTTTGGCGGCTTATTTTCTACATTCATAAGGACGATGTGGGGGATCGCGGGTCAAGTGGAAAGGACGAAGAAGAAGAACAGACGATTTTCATTTATGAGAAGATGCATAAATAATATTAATGACTGTTGAATTCAAATATTAGTAGGTTTACGTATTATGTTATTTTTACAATCGTAGCTTTCTATATTTTATTGGGGGGTGGGGGGTGTGCCCCTTTATTCCGACGGTACCTACATTAACTTGTTTAGCCCCATATATAAATACTCAACAATTTGTTATATAGTGCATCGTAGGTTACCTACTGTAGGTATTTAATGCTGGAAAATAAAAAATTGATCGTAATTTATTTTAATAAAGTTCAAATTCATGATAAAATTCGTTAAAAACAAGCATAATTGTAATTGATTATTTTCTTATTAAAAACGAATAAAATTTTCATTTTCAATTTATCAAAAATGTTTAATTGAACTCTGCTCAAAATCGTTATTCGTTTGCAATGATTTATCAAAAACCAAATCGCCTTATGTAGCCAACCTTCTCCACTTCCTATCTACAACAGTGGCTTACCCATAAGAAGTGTCAACACTTTTTTTTTTTTAAATGTGTTATAGGTGCCTTTCTAATTAGTTTAAGTAGTAGGTATGAACTCGAGGAATGCGAATTCTGTTTTATTCGTGCTAGGTATATATTTATGTAAGTAATATAAGTAACACGTAAAAATTAAAAATTTGTAGAAGAATGTAATTTCTAAAGGCGAAATCTACGGTTATAGAAAATTAAAATTGATTTGTAAAAACGTTGAGACAAATAAATATAATACGAAAAACAACGTCACAAAATCCAAAGATCAATCTCTTTGGACTACTTGCTGTAACCCTTGTACCAAACTGTAAGTTGTAATAATATTGTTTATAATATATTTTCTAAACCAAATGTACGGTCATGATTTCTCTCATTCCTAATTTCTGATAAAATCTACAATACCTACTGCGTAGCGAGCATTATTATCATAAAATCCTGGACTTCAGAGTTCAGATTACAGTTCGACCAGCCAGAAGGACTAACCGGCCAAGTGACTCCTAATTCCTATACTTACACTTATCAGCTAAATTATTTATAAACAAGGTCCGAAAGCTATTAACAACAGGTAATAATTATGTCCAATAGTCCAAGAGACAAAAACACATTAGAACAATTCAAAAATATATGTATTTATTTGATAACCATTGAAAAAATTATAAAATAGTTACATGCGTTACGTACTTCAATTGAACAGCCGGTCTTTATCAGAATAATTTGAATCAAAATAATGATTAATGGATAGTAATGTCAAATTTGTTATTTGTTTTGAATGTTTTAATGTTTTAAAAATCTGTAAAAAATAAATGTTCAAATGTTTGTTTTAAATTTAATTATTATCTGTAAGTCTGTAAATGTAATGTTTGTCTTTAGTTAATTACATGTTGTACACATTGTAAAATTTAGGAAATCAATAATCTGAGAAAAAGACTGATTGTATGTAAGATTGTTTATACTATTTGCTTTAAATTTATACCTATATCTGTAATGTAGTTGGTAATATGAAAATATGATATTTATAAACTATCATTTATCATAATAACAATTTTTGTTACGGTACCTAGGTACCAGTTAAATAAAATATGATGTTATACAAGTAATAAAAGTGCTTAAAAGTAGACCTTTTGTTGGGTATTTATTATACACTTTAAATTAGGATTATTATATATATAGTATTTATACACGCACAAATGTATTTAAATTATTCATTCAACACAGTATTTCCATTGCAGAACCAAAGGGATCATGTTGATTGATCGCATAAACACTTTTGTAGCGAATTTGAAGTCCAAGAGCTTTGAGACTCGTAAACGTGCTGCTCGAGATTTAAATCTTTATGTAATTATTTTATCAATTTTATTAATACTTATATATGTATCTAATTTATCTAATTATTACTGCCCTAGGTTAAAACTGAATTACGCGAAGTATCAGCAGAAGAACGAACAATTTTCTATGATGCCTTTAATAAACATATATATGATTTGGTAGTTAGCAATGAAAGCAATGCGAAAATCGGCGGTATACTTGCTATATGTAAGTTTGCATTTGTATGTTTAAATAGAACTGAAAAATAAACCATTTGGTATTTTAAAATAAAAATCATTAAACACTATTATTTGTTGCTTAAATTATATTTAAATTTCAAAGTGTATTGATTAAAGTTGTACAATTAATAAAGAGAACAATCTGTTATTCCTTCAGTACCAATTGATAATTCTTTTTTAAATTAATGACATAATAACTCAATTTTTACAGTATGTTTAATTGGTGCTGATGTCGGCAATAAAACTAACCGTGTCAGTAGGTTTGCAAACTATTTACGTAATGTATTACCATCCACCGATCCTGCAGTTATGGAACTGGCTGCAAAAACCGTTGGCAAATTAGCTTTAGACTCTGGAACCTACGCGGATCAGTATGTTGAATTTGAAGTGAAAAGATCATTTGAATGGTTAGGCGGTGTACGAAATGAACCCAAGAGATATGCAGCCGTGCGTAAAATAATATAATTTTCTTTATTTACAAATGATCTCAACTTTGAAAAAAATATTGTTTTATAGGTACTTATACTGAGAGAAATAGCCACTGTGGTTCCAACTCTTTTCTTTCAACACGCAGCTCAATTTTTTGACTTGGTGCTAAATGTAACCCGTGATCCAAAACCTAGTATTAGAGATGGAGCTGTTGAAGCATTAAGAGCAGCACTTGTTGTAACTGCCCAAAGAGAAACATCTAAACAGACACACAAATCTCAATGGTACTATTCACAAAACAAATTTTTATCAAAGTTTGATTCATAATAACAATTTCTTTTTTTTTACTGTTAGGTACAAACAGTGTTATGATGAAGTTATGAATGGATTGGACGATTCAATAAATAAAGAAAAAGGTGTTATTCGTGATGATAAAATACATGGTTCATTATTGGTGTTGAATGAATTACTTAGAGTTAGCAATGTTAATTGGGAAAGACAAAATGACTCGTTAATGCAAAGATTACAATGGGATCAAAGTAAAACTAGTGCGGTTAGATGGATTTTTTTATTAAATATCTTGTAGTGTTTAGTTTTAATAACCAGAAAAGAAAGTCCCAATATTTTATTATGTGTATCATCTGTAAAAATGATTCCATTATGATAAATTTATGTATTTAACTTTTNATGAAAGCAGTGCCTGCAAAACTCTTCTTCAAGAAAACTATGATCGTGTGTGTTCATCAGCAGTATCTCATAGACTGTCTAGGAATATTTTAGTGAATACAGCATTGATGAAAGTGCTTCCTAGACTAGCCGCATTTAATAAATCTATTTTTGTACAAAGGTATTATTTTGTGTAAACAACTTTGTGTATGTAGTTATTTTGTATTTTATTTTATAGTTATTTAAATTCTTCTATGTTGTTTCTTATTTCAACTGCTCGTGGTCGTGATCGCGATCAACGGACTTATGCGTTTGTTGCTATTGGTCTAGTAACAATAGCAATTGAAGATCATATAAAACCATATCTAGCGAAAATTTTAGATGCAGTTCGCAGTTTCTTACCACCAAAAGTACTGTTATGAATAATATATTAATTTTTTAAATTACTTCTCATTTTTAAAATAATATTTATTATTATTTTAATTAAATTGTTGGTATTTTTTTTTTTCAGGAAAATCAAAAAAAAAAACCTGTCATCGCAGAACCGGCTGTTTATATTTGTATAACATTATTAGGCATTGCAACTCAACAGAACATTAAGACTGATATTAAAGAGCTTCTTGAACCTATGTTAGGCATGGGACTTAGCCCTACACTAACAATAGCTTTAAAAGAATTGGCTGTTGCTGTTCCGTCACTGAAAAAAGATATATCTGAAGGTACTTATGAAAAGTGAATTAAATCTCCCTTTTCTCAGTCGGTACTAAAATTATTTTATTTTAGGACTGTTAAAAATGCTTTCACAAGTTCTTAACAAACAAAGTAGAGAACCTTTAACTCCACCACTTGCCTTAACAACTTCTGCCCTTGGTGGAGTGTCGATATTGCCAGCAAGTGTGGTTCATCCTCAAAACAATTCAAATGTAATTTTGGCCCTCAGAACACTCGGAAACTTCAATTTTGAAGGTAATATTATAATATTTATTAATAAAAATGAATAAGTGTAATATGATATTTTGTCTCACAAACTTCAATGTGTAAGTTTTGTTTTATAATCCAATTACATGTATAATTAGGTCATTCTTTACTTCAATTTTTGCGTCGTTGTGCTGAGTATTATTTAGTTAGTGAACAAGAAGAAGTTCGGATTGAATCTATTAGAACTTGCAGTCGGCTTTTGCGTTTAGCAATAGAATCTTTGCAGAGTAAAACTTCACAAACCGTGAGGTATACTATTTCTACAGTCATCAAACAATTACTCATTGTAGGAGTTTCTGATACAGGTTAGTGAATCCAATAAATTGGTAAAAATAATATAAATGGTAATTTAAAAATGATTTAATTATTTTGAAACCTCGTATTTTAGAATCTGATGTGCGTTATGCAGTGTTTAAAAATCTCCACCGCAGTTTCGATTTTTACCTTGCTCAAGTACATAACCTAACTGCATTATTTATGGCTATGAATGATATTAATTTTGAAATACGAGAAATGGCCCTTTGCACTATAGGACGACTTGGTTTAGTAAATCCAGCATATGTGATGCCACCACTTCGTAAAACACTTATGCAGGTTCTTAAATTAATCATCAAAATATACTTTCATGTCTTGCTGTATTTTATTAAAAAATTTAATTAATAATATATTTTTGGTGAAAGTGTTTGACCGAACTTGAACACAGTGGAATGGGTCGTAATAAAGAGCAAAGTGCTAGAATGATTGACCACATGGCTGTTCACGCTCCTCGTCTTGTGGCACCGTACGTTCAACCCATTTTAAAAATATTAGTTCCTAAACTTAATGAACCAGATTTAAACCCAAGTATCTTGATAAGTATACTTGCGTGTATTGGAGATTTGGCACAAGTATGTGAATTAGTATTATACTTTTTTGAATAATTTAGTTTGTGTTATTTATGTTTGTGTTTAACATCAATAGGTTAATGGTGAAGAAATGTACTGTTGGACTGACGAATTGTTGCTTATATTATTGGACATGTTGGGCGACAGCGGATCTCAAGAAAAACGAGGAGTCGCTCTCTGGGTACTTGGCAAACTAGTCGAAGGACTGGGCTATGTTATCCAACCTTATGAAAAATATCCTACGTTGTTAGATACTTTGCTTGGATTTTTAAAAACTGAACAACAACCATTAGTTAGGTAAATTTATAAATTTATTTGAAACATATTACTATGATTTAAATTAAATTAAAATTTGCTTTAGGAGAGAAACAATTCGAGTACTTGGTCTTCTTGGAGCTTTAGATCCTTATAAACATAAAATGAATTTGGGACAGATTGATTCTCAAATAGAGTCTACCGCTTTACTTTCGATGACTGATTCTCGTCCAATATCGGAAACTGAATGGACAACTAGTGAAATGTTGGTCAATATGAGCACATCTACTTTAGAGGAGTATTATCCGGCTGTAGCAATTGCGACACTTATACGCATTATTCGTGATCCAAATTTATTTCAACATCATACTATGGTTGTACAGGTTAGGTCATACTAATATTGAATTTGAATATTACACCATTTATTTTTTTTTAAATTNGGGGGGGGGGGGGGTTAGCAAGTTGTATTTATTGATGTCTTTAGATCAACGATAATTTCTTTGAAATGTTTATCCAATGAAAACCTAGCAGTATTGTATAGCCCGAATTTTTTTGAACCATTATAATCAATATATTATGTATCTATATATACTATTATTTAAAATGACATATTACATCCAAATTAAGGCACCAGTATAGAAGAAAATAAAGTTTAATAAAGAAACTAAAATTTAGAAAATATGAAGAATGTTCTAAATGTGTTATTCGTTTAAAATTATTAGTTGCCAATAGTAGTATGAATTCAATTAAATTAAAATGTCATTTTGAAACTAAACCTAGCACATTGATTAATAAGAAACACAATTATTTTGTAAGATAACTTGAACAGTTAGGAAAAAAATCAACCAGTTTTATTAATTAAACAGTCAAGTATGCCAACCAAAGCTTAGCTTTGCTAAGAAGTCTTTTAGCTTTCTACAAAGTAGCATTTTATATTATTCAATGAAAAATGTATGTAATATTTTTGAAAAACTTAATACTTATGTTCAATACATCTTTACAAGGTAAAGAAACTCATATTTTGCAGTTATATGATAAAGTGGTTGTTTTTATTAAAAAAAATTGACTTTGGCAAAGGAAACTAACAGAAGAAAACGATATACCATTAGTTTTCCACACTTGAACAATTTTTGTTTTAGATCTTGAACTACTAATGACTTCAATAAAAATAATTTCTGATGGCTCTTAAAAGTAATTTCATGAAATATTTTCGAAAATAATTTAAACAATACAATTTAATTAAAGGCCTGTTTATTGAAAAACCATTATCACAATTCACAACTACAGAGAAGAACAATTAATCAACATTTGATCTGATTCTTTGTTACAAATGAAATTTTTTTCATATTGACTTTTAGGATTTTGGTACAACATTAAAGATGAATATCCTGAAGTAGCCAACAAAGCCTTGCATTTATTACTATCATTAATAACATTGTATTTATATGAAGTAGAATTTTTCGCAGTTGGTATATTTAAACAAAATATTGGTCAAAATTTAATGTTGAAAAAGAAATGCGTTTGGCTGTCACAACACTGCTACCTAATTTTGAAGGATTATTGAACAAAAATTAAATACATTGTTCACACTAAGATTGAATATTAATAGGCATTATTTTTTTCCATAAAAATAAAAATATTTTGTTATACTTTAATTTAAATTAAATAACACTTTTGGTTGATTTGTTTTGTCATAAAAATGAAAATATTTGAATATTTAAATAATACAATATTGTAGTAATTTATTTATGGGAGGGTCAATTTTTTGTTTTTTATTTATAGGTTTATGCACCAAATAAGTTTGAGAACCACTGTTCTATTTAATTATAATAGGCTTGAATAATTTACTCAACTATAATAATATGTATTAATATTGTAAATTATTCTTCTTCCAGGCCATAACATTCATTTTTCAATCGCTGGGTACAAAATGTATACCTTATATACCACAAGTAATGCCTAGTTTTTTAAATGTCATTCGTACAGCAGACCCAAACTTCAGAGAATATTTATTTCAACAGTTAGCTGTACTCATAAATATTGTCGGTCAACATGTCCGAAATTATTTAGACGATATATTTTTGTTAATCAAAGTGAGTATCTATTTTTTATAATAGGTCATTATGTTAACATTTTTTTATGTATATAATTTCATATATATATTATATATGTTATATACAAAGTCTGGAATTAAACATTTAGCAATGTACAATTAACAAAATTTAAAAATATATTATAAAAATCACATTTTAACCACGATTATACAGTTTTTCACATAAAAATCATTATTAATCAAATATATTATTGAGTCGTTACATTAATATGAAGTAAATATATTTTTTTTTTTTGAGGGATCTAGGAAAATGTTTATATTATAGTATTATGTATTACCAAATAAAAAAAAAATAAATATAAATTTACTTAGTTTGTCAAATATTTTATTTTTTAAAGTATCTATAATTGTGAAATTATAAAAACAGTCTAAAAATTGCATGTTAATCACGATTATAAAATTTTTATATAAAACAAATATGGCAAAAAAATATTATTATAAAACTACATATATTACTAAAATCAAATACAATTTCATATAGTTTGTCAAATATCTCAGCATAAAATCACTGTAGGTTCTTACATATATGTATCATTATTTATTCTTACCAAAGTACAAAATATATCAATTAAATGACATTGCTTTAGTTACAGTTTTTATTTTGAGAACACACAATATGTTAATAAATGATCCTGTTAATTTAATATAAATCTGTACTCACCTTCTTTGCAAGACTGCATATCGATTGAATTCGATCTGTCCACGTGCATTAACTTCATTAAATACCATAAGTTTAACAATTACTCTTCTTTTTTTTAAAAATATTTTTAAACACATTTCACAATTGATTAAAATTAATTGAACAACAGGACATGATAAATTAAAGTAACTATTTTTTAAGTTATAAATCATTTTATGAAGTTCACCATACAATGTTTCTTAATGTGACTTTTCAGGAACATCATACATTTCTTTATTATGTAAATAAGATTTAACTTCATTATTTTACGATTTATGTAATGGAAAAATTAATTTATTAACTTCACCTACTTTCATAATATTGTAGTGATTTAAACATCTATAGTCTAATGAAATCTTAATTTTCCAATGTTTAGCTTCAATTACATCATTTATTTTTTTTATTTTTTTCATTAGCTATGAACATTGAATTTACACTAAAATTAATATTTTTAATTTTTTTTCGACAAACAAATTTAAAATAACAATTATTTAAGCTATTTTTTTGAACCACAGTGTCCTAAATTTGTTTAGATAAACTTCATTATTTTTATTGAATTATACCTTTACCAGTATTTTAGATGACGTGGGAAACAAAACTCATAAGAAATAATAATATAAATATTAAAAGTATATAATATTTATCAGGAAAATATTTTTAAAAAATAACTATTATTATAGTTTCAGGTATTTTATATTTTTTCGCAACGTGTACAGTGATTTTTGTACACATCGCAAACTGTACAATGTTGCTGTACAAAGTAGCTACATTGTACAAGTTACATTAAATGTACTATTCTGGACTTTATAACATACATATGTATATATATTATGTCTTCACAGGAGTTATGGACCCCAAATAGTTCATTACAATGCACTTTAATCCAACTAGTTGAATACATAGTCGTAGCACTTGGGGCACAATTCAAAACATACTTGGCTCAATTGATGCCTAATATTCTTAGAATACTGTATCATGATTCAGGAAAAGATCATAATGTTACTAAACGGGTAAGTGTAATCTGAAGACTTCATACATTGTAAAAATTATTATTATTATTATTATTATTAAGTTTTTGAGGAATAACAAATTGTAAATTATACTTATATTTTTAGATGGTTGTGGCTCTATGTAAATTTGGCATTAACTTAGATGAATATATACATATGATCATGCCACCACTCATTAATTTATTTAATAGTGCTGAAGTTATAGTCTGTCAGGTGGCAATGGAAACAGTTGCACAATTAGCCTACACTTTGGATTTCACTGATTTTGCTTCACGCATAATACATGGAATCGTATGAATATTTTTCCTTATTAAATGCTATGTTATCATAATGTTCTGAATTCCTGTATTATTTATGTTTAGATAAAGTCAATTGAAAGAACAACAGAGCTTAGACACATTGCTATGGAAACTCTATGTGCATTGGTGTGTCAGTTGGGTCCCAAGTATCTGGTATTTGTACCTCTAGTTTCACGCACATTAACAAAACATCATGTTGCTTGTTCAGCATACGACACTCTCATCACTTATATATCTTCAGTCAGTTAATTACAAAATTGATTTTTATAAATTAATACCTACATTTGTTGTTTCTACCATTTTGTTTTTTTATTAGAACACTGATGGCAGCCTGGAAGAGAATCTTTTACTCTCCAGACACAAACAATTCAAAATTAAAAAAGAACCAGGAGTACATGTTCTTGGGGATTCTGCCACCATAATTAAAAAGGTATTTATACATTTTGATTATTGTAATTCTTATTTAAAAATTTAGTTAAATTTTTATGTTGGTATTTAGTATTCTGTGTGCTTTGTATATATTTAGTAATAACAGTTTATTTTTAATAAAAATGGCTATTTATGTTCATACAGATGCACACTTCTTTACCCAATTTACAAAAAGCATGGTTAGTCAACCGTTGTGTATCCAAAGACGATTGGCTGGAATGGTTAAGACGACTAGGCATTGATTTTCTCAAAGAATCACCTTCTCCAGCACTACGATCATGCTGGGCACTTGCCCAAACATATTCTCAACTGCCCAAGGATCTGTTCAATGCCGCATTTGTTAGTTGTTGGACAGAATTAACAGAGCCACTCCGAAAAGAACTCATTCAAACTTTGGAACAGGCTCTGATGGTTTCTGATTTACCGGAAATGACACAAACTATATTAAACTTGGCTGAATTTATGGATCATTGTGAAAAAGGACCGTTGCCTATTGATACTCATATACTTGGTGAAAGGGCTATGGACTGTAGGGCTTATGCGAAAGCTTTACATTACAAAGAAGACGAGTTCATAAAGGAAAAAAGTAGACGAATATGTCCGGACATTGTTGAATCACTCATATCCATTAACAATAAATTGCAGCAAAAAGAGGCGGCATCAGGTAATTACAGAAAACAACTAATGGTAAATTTTTAAAAAGTTCTTCCATTTAAATATAATAAAAACCTATCGGTTAAAACAGTCTGTCTAAGTTGAAAATGATATCTAAATGAACAAATTAACATAGGTTGTGTTAGATGTATGCAAAATACAATTCAGTATTGTACTGGTACTTAAATTTGAAAAAAAAATATAAATCATTTTAAATTCAAAAAATTATTATGATCTCAAAGTTTAAATTTAGATGCTTGCTTTTATTTTTTATTTCCTTAATTTCTTCACAATTTTTTCAGATCATCTAACATATATACATAAATATATAAATAATATGACTTATAAAAATTAAATCAGTCTACAGCTTTTGTTTTCATCATATTTCATTTTTCTATTTGAAATTATTTCTATCTTTTTATTTGCTATCTTAACAGTCAGTTTTCTGGATTTCTTTTAATTATCATTTTTTATTTTCATATTTTATTTGTTTTGATTTTTTAAATTTATTTCAATGGTCTCCGTCGTCCCCACTCTCCCATTAGAAGATTGAAACAAATCAAATGACACTTAATTTATTAAAATCCGTTCAGCTTGTTTGGGTTCTACAAGGTGAGAAGGAATATCACAAAAAATACATAGATGCACACGAAATGCACAAAACATTTCTTTGGCAATTGGGTAAAAAGTTCACTAAAGATCTAATTAATGTTAGATCTATATTAATCTATATTAATGTTCATTCGAATTTGTCGATATTTCAATGACTAATACAATATTTGTAATGCAAAAGAAACCTATAAATACTACTCTACTGTTCACTACTCTATTGTTACTAGCAATAACAATTGCTTCCTTCCCCCCCCCCCGTAGGTCATTAGAATTGTATCTTTTATGTGGCGGTATGGGGCACGGTGTGTTGATAATGCACCATCACTCTCTTTCAACTCAAACTTAAAAGTGAAGTATCACGTCAATGGATCGACGGAAATCAAACATTTCAACACTAAAGTTTGTTTTAATTAATATTCCATTTATTTATATACTCTTTATTATAGGTTACCAAAATCAAAAGTAGGTAGTGGTTTTATTCCGAAAAATAAGGGTGACAAAAAATAACATAAATATAAAATTGCAGAGCAGATTGTTTAGTAAATACTAAGAAGAAAATTTCTAAAAAAAAAAAATAATTTCAAAAAAAATAAAATTTTCATTCAAATTGTATAATTGTATTATTTATGTATGTCATTAGGACTTCTGAATGTGGTTATGGATAAACATGATAAATCCAGTGATAAAATTCCCGTAAAAGCAAGATGGTTTGAAAAACTGCACAATTGGGAGGGAGCATTATCGTATTATGAAACGTGTTTGCAAAAGGAACCACATAACGTAGACTGGGTTTTAGGGCAAATGAGGTAAGTTTAATTTAATTTTTATGAAATCTATTTTTTTTTTTTGGATTACAAAATTATTTAATGGTAGATGTTTGGAGTCTTTGGGTCAATGGTATTGAAAGACTGGGAGAAAATGGGAGTTTATGTAGGATGCATACCAAGAGATACTATGGATAGTGCATTTTACAGAGCTATCTTATCTATTCATGGAGAACAGTATGAATGTGCTCAGAAGGTAGTATAAGATTGTTACTGACTATGACAAATTTAGAGACTGTTTATAAATTAACTGTTACCGGTATAGTTTATCGATTTGGCTCGAGAAATTTTGGACACTGAACTTACAGCTATGGTGGCAGAAAGTTACCAACGAGCATATGGTTGTATGGTTTCAGTCCAAATGTTAGCCGAACTCGAAGAAGTTATTCAGTATAAATTGAAACCTGAGAAACGACAAACAATTCATAAAGTTTGGTGGGACAGGCTTCAGGTAATGTTAATTAAATTCAAATAAGTAGAAACTAATTAAATACACATTTTAAAATTATTAATCAGTATTATAATATTAATCCGTATATTTTAGGGATGTCAAAGAGTGGTCGAAGATTGGCAGCGCATTATTCAAGTGCACTCTTTGGTGTTGAGTCCCGAAGAAGATATGCATACATGGCTCAAGTATTCTGCTTTGTGTCGTAAATCATCGCAAATGGTACTAGTATTTATGGTCATATTCTGGAAATTAAATGGATGGAACATATAAATCCCTGAAAGTATTTGCCTGGAATCTAAAAATTAAAACCAATTTTTCTGGGACTTATAATTCAGGAACTAATATTAATATAAACGAATATAAATTACGGACAGATTCAGTATTTAGATTTTATTATCAGGAATGAATATGGTCTGGAAAAATAAATTCTGGCGATACACTTTATGGATTTTTATAACTTCAGTATATATTGTGATTTTAAATTTTTTGTACCTGTTATCTGTATGTTATGTTAGACTAATGTATATTATATAATTTATATTAGCAATAATGCTTTTAGGGCTTTTCTCATTCAACTCTGACAACATTACTGAATACAGATCCTTCAACAGAACCTACTAAATCTTTGCCAATGACACATCCTCAAGTCACATTTGCCTATATTAAACACATGTGGACTTCAGGAGCTAAACCGGAAGCCTATAAGTAAATATTTAATAAATAATGTGTTATGAGTAAGCGCAGTTGAAGTGAAACTTCTTCCAGAGATGTATGGAGTCAGTTGAATACTTATACTTTACATGAGAAATACAAATATACAATATGCAGTAGAAGTCAAAATGAACAAAATAAATGTTGACAAAGATCACATATGTCCAACAAAGAAACCTATAGTTAAATATTCAAGTGTTAAATTATTGACAATGATTAAAATTATGGGTTTTCAAAGTATAATGTTGATCAGCTATTATAAGACACTTATTATCTCGAAAAGTATTAATTTTTACAAAATTTGTTTTATAAAACATTTAATAATTAAGCAGCTCTACAATTTTACATTTATGTAATTTTTTGAACCCTACTTTTGATTTTCAAACGAAGACTTATATTAAAAATTCAATTAATAGTTAAAGTATTAGTTAAAATTCATTTGAATGATTTTCTACTTTTAAGTTTGGATTAGGGGAAAGTAGTAGAACATCATTTGCGTGGCAACACAACCGGCAGATTTTTAATAATACATTATCACTCTCGACATAACCTAACCTAACACGACCCAACCTTAAAAGTGGAATATCTCAGTAACAGATAGATAGAAATTAACAATTTCAACACCTAAATTTATTTCAACTAATACTTAATCTATTTATGGAATTTTTAATATAAATTGTTATTTGAAAATCAAAAGTAGGTAGGGGTTTTACTCCCCAAAAAGGGGTGACAGAAAAATTACGTAAAGGAAATTTTGTAGAGCTGCGAGTTTCTTATATGTTCGACAATTAAATTTTGTATAAAATTAATACTTTCTGAGAAAAAGGGTGTCTTATGACAAATTGATCACTCTGTATAATGATATACACAAATTAAAAAAATAGAGTAAAAATTAAAGTAAAACTATGCTATCAAAAAATCCATCTGATTAAATTGAAACTAGAGAATCCAACTGTTTGGATTATCATGTGATATCACTGTGCTGTTGCGTCTACAGTATGTGACAATATTTTTTTTTGCATGTATCATTTTTATGTAGGTTTTTTTTCAATTGGAATTTTTTAATTTAAAATGAAAAATCTTCAAAATACTGTGTATTTTAAGTTACATCATGTACAAATATATATAACAAACAAAAATTATATTATCATTGTGCAAAATAATGCAAACCATTGAGATTGCTTGAGATTTGAACTCGCTATCGATCAGCTAATAAACTTGTTTTTGGCAATGTGCCGCATGTCATGTGTCATGAGGATAGTTTCTAGACTAAGTTTTTATTACAACCCTCCTTAAAGAAGTTTCACTTTAAAAAATTTTTGTATAAACTTCTGAAACTTAATTTTTTTTTTTTTCCTAGTCATTTGAATTGTTTAGTCCAAAACGTACTACCACAATTGAAGCGAAAAGGGAAAGACTCTGATAAACTTAAAACTGAATCTACTAAAAAATTGTTGGCTAGGTAAATTAAATTTTTTAAAAATAATAATTAATTTATTTCAATAGAACACTCATTATTATTATGTATACATTATTATAGATGTTATTTGAAGTTAGGATGTTGGCAGGAAGAGCTTCAGGGATTAACTGAACAATCAATACCCGATATTTTAGACTATTATTCTGCAGCCAAATTTCACGATCCTAGCTGGTATAAAGCTTGGCATTCGTGGGCCTATATGAATTTTGAAACAGTTTTGTTTTACAAAAACCAAAAAAGCAGGTCTCAATCTAATGAGGAAACTACTGAAGGAGAAATGAACGATAAAGCTGGTTTTGAAGTATTTTTTGACTTGCTACAAAAAATTTTTATTTCAATTTTTATTTGCATAATATTACTTTTAGGCTGCTAAGTCCGATCAGTACATTTCACAATTCACTGTACCTGCTGTCGAAGGATTTTTCCGATCAATCTCATTATCACATGGTAGTTCACTACAAGACACATTGAGACTTTTAACCCTTTGGTTTGAATACGGTCAAAATCACGATGTATACGATGCAATTGTTGATGGGTTGAGGTCCAGTCAAATTAACACATGGTTACAAGTAAGTGATTAATAACATAATTATTCTTTACAGGATTAAATGAAAAAGGTTGAATTAAATTCATTTTTTTTTTGTTTTAGGTTATTCCACAGTTGATAGCTCGCATTGATACACCTCGTACATTGGTTAGTCGTCTTGTTCATAATTTATTAATTGACATTGGCAAACACCATCCACAAGCATTAGTTTATCCGGTGACTGTGGCAAATAAATCTGCCAGTGTAACCCGTAGGAATGCAGCAAATAAAATCTTGAAAACAATGTGTGAACACAGTCCAAATTTAGTACAACAAGCAGTGATGGTCAGTGATGAATTACTCAGAGTCGCCATACTCTGGAATGAGTTGTGGCATGAGGCTTTGGAAGAAGCCAGTAGACTATACTTTAATGATAACAACGTAAAAGGCATGTATGAAGTTTTAGAGCCATTGCACGCTATGATGGAAAAAGGGCCTCAGACTTTAAAAGAAACTTCATTTAATCAAGTATGACTAACAGAATTTATAAATAAAAAAAAAAATGTTTTATGAATATNCTTTGAATAATTGATTCTTTTGTTCTATTTAGACTTATGGCCGAGATTTAGTTGAGGCTTTAGAATGTTGTAACCGTTATCTTGTTTCTGAGAATATCCGTGACTTGAATAAAGCGTGGGATTTATATTATCAAGTTTTTCGTCGGATATCTAGACAATTACCTCAACTCACAACGCTAGAACTTCAATATGTCAGTCCAAAATTACAACAGAGCCGTAATATGGAACTCGCAGTTCCAGGTTCCTATATCCCTGGCCAACCTGTTGTTAAAATTGCGTACATTCAAAGTTCTTTACAAGTAATCACATCTAAGCAACGTCCCCGCAAGTTG